TGGAATCAGCTGGTCTTCTATGCATCTTTACTGAGCCAAGGGCAATGTGATCACCCAAAGTTGATGACAATCTTCTCTTTCTGTAACTGATATCTAAAAATATCCCTTCTTCAGGCCAGCAGTGCAGAGCACATCCCCGGTTCCATACAGCTGCAGTGCTCCTCTCCGGCCAGCTCAGGGGGGTGTTAGATAGGAATTCAGAAGAAGGGAATTAAAACCTCCCCAGGTCAGATTTTGCAGACAAACTCTTGTTAGACAAAGTCAGACAGATTTCTTCCCTGCAGGTCTTGTCAGAGCCTTTAATCTGCTGAGACGTACTATGACCCTCAGTGGAGTGAGGTGGGATCAAGGAGCAGGTGTCAGGGGATTTGGAGGGCATCATATGCTTGACCAAAAAGGTTTAAGCATGGGGACTTTCTGTGCCAAGGACCATCTCTGGGATCTGGCGTCTCCAGAAATAAGGGCTGCCTGTACCAATGGGTGCCCGCTGTCCCCCTCTGTGCCTTTCCCAGAGCTAAGCACACAGCTGTCCTGTAGCACGCGTGTGGCAATGGAGAGACGGGAATGCCAGGCAAAGAGTGAAGAGGCTTTTTAATGTTCTATTTATTTCAGCTTGGTGTTGCAGTAAAACTTCGGCAGGGTTAGTGTCCAGGCTCTCAGGGGAAGATGGAGTTAAAATAACACAGACTTCAGCGGTGGCTAGCACTGCTGGCCAGGGCTCTTGCTCTGCCATGGAATTCTGTTCCAGAGAATTCCAGAGACGTCCTTCATCCTAGGAACTGAGCATCACAGCACAATGGACACATGTAACCTAAAGTGGTAGGTTCCTGAGTACCCCCTCTCCCACGGTCCATCCAGGGCCTGCAGGATTCTCTCCTTCTCCTGGGAGGAAAGGCGTGAGCTCCGAAACCCACCACCTTCTCCACCCTCGCCTAACCTCATGCTTCTAAATAACATTTCTAAGACATGGACTTTAGGCCAGGCACGGTAGCTCACACCTGTAATCCCAGCACTTTGGGAGGCTGAGGTGGGCAGATTGCTTGAACCCAGGAGTTTGAGACCAGCCTGGGCAACACAGGGAGCCCCATCTCCACAAAAAGTAAAAATAAAATTAGCTGGGCATGGTGGCACGAGACTGTGGTCCCAGCTACTCGGGAGGCTGAGAAGGGAGGATCGCTTGAGCCGGAGAGGCAGAAGTTGCAGTGAGCCAAGGTTGTGCCACGGCACTCCAACCTGGGTGACAGAGTGAGACCCTGTCTCAGAAAACAGAAGAATTCCATCACCTGGATGTACCGTAATTTCCCTAACCATTCTGCAGGATAATTCGAGGACAGAGAGAAGCCCCCAAGGAAGAAGGCAGCCCTGGTGACCAAAACTGGCTGATGGGGGTTACCTGGGAGCCCCAGGGCTGGTGGATGCAGGGGCCACTGTTTCCCCACCCAGATCCTTGCTCTGGAAGGCGCCCCCCAGAGGACCCTTCATTCCCAGTCAGATGGGGACAGAGGCGGAGCAGAGCCGAGGGAGGAGGGCTCAGATGAAGCGCCTGGTGGGACTGATATATGAGGGGGGCCAGACGCGAGGAGGGAGATTCGCAGCCTGTGTTGTCCAGGAGGATTTGGGGACTGTGAGGTGAGAAAACAAAAAACCTCACCCAGCCCAGTGGAAGGGGAGCATGAAGAGAGAAGAAAATGCCAGTTACACATCCTCAAGACAATCTCTGAATGGACGAGCGCCAGTCAGGGGGAAACGGAAGTTGCAGTGAGCCAAGATCGTGCCATGGCACTCCAGCCTGGGTGACAGAGTGAGACTCTGTCTCAAAAAACAAAAAGATGCCCCGCACCCCAGGCACGATGGGTGGGACCAGGTGCCCTGCCCTGGTCCAGGCCTCTATTCACAGGGTCTCGCTGGTCTCTCCCTGCCCAGGCTTTTGTCTCCCAGACAAACCAGTCTCCATGAAGCGGCCACAGCAATATAAAATACGGCCCAGAGCAGGACACGCTTAACCTGTCAAAGGCTTGCAGAGTAAAATCCCACCTCTGTCTCCTGGTCTGGCCTCCTCCACCCCCCAGCCTCGTTGCAGACCTCACGAGTGGAACTCCTTTCAACCCCAGGGCTTTCCTCATGCTCTTGCCTCTTTCTAGAAGGTTCTCCCCTTCTGGCCCAGCAACTCTCAATCCTCCTTCAGGTCTTAGTTTAAAACTGTTCTTCCTGAAAATCCTGGACTCCCTTAGTGCCTTCTTTGCACAACACATGCGCTCTCTTAACGGTTGAGATGAACACTTGAAGAGGTGTGTGATTCTTATTTTTATAATTAATAGACTTTATTTTTAGAGCAGTTTTAAGTTTACAGAAAATTGAGCAGATAGTACAGAAAGTTCGCATTTCCCTACCACCCCTGCACAGTTTCCCCTATTGTGGAGTATATGTGTTACAATGATGCGCTAACATGGATACAGTAGCATTCACTAGAGCCTGTTGTTTACATCAGGACTCACTCTGTGTTGGACACTTCCGTGGGTTTTGCTATATGCATAATGCCAGGTATCTACCATTGTGACATCATAAACGATGGTTTCACCACCCAAAAAATCCCTGTCTGCCACCTATTTATCCTCCCTCCCTGTCCCCTCCAATCACTGATTTTGTTCATGGTCTCCCAGCTAGACTCAAAGCACCATCAGGGCAGGGAGCCATCTGCTTTGCTGACATTATACTCACTGTTCCCAACTCAGAGCCCCTGCCACATAACAGGTGCCTGATAAATATTTTTCTTTGCATCTTTTAATAAAAATAGGATTCTACTAAACCCATTGTTCTGCAATTTGCTTTTTCCAAATACTGACAATATATCTTGGAAATCTTCCCATATCAGAATATAGACCACACACTGTCTCTCCTTCACTTTCTGTTATGGAGAATTTCCAACACAAAAGAAGACAGAATCTGCTATGATGAACTGCTGTGTACCTCTCACCCGACTGCAGTTATCAACTAGTGAACCTTCCTGTTTCATCTGTACCTCTGCCCATCAGATAATTTCACCTGTAAATATTTCTGTATGTAGCTCTCTCTCCTTTTTTTTTTTCTTTTCTTTTCTTTTTTTTTTTTTCCAACATGTTGAAGAGATGGAGTCTCACTCTGTCTCCCAGGCTGGAGTGCAGTGGTGCAATGGCTCACTGCAACCTCTGTCTCCTGGGTTCAAGCGATTCTCCTGCCTCAACCTCCCAAGTAGCTGGGATTACCGGATGCACCACCACACTTGGTTAATTTTGTATTTTTAGTGAGATGGGGTTTCACCATGTTGGACAGACTGGTCTCGAACTCCTGACCTCAGGTGATCTGCCTGCCTTGGCCTCCCAAAGTGCTGGGATTACAGGTGTAAGCCACCACACCCGACCCTTTTTTTTTTTCTTTTTTTTTTTTTTTTTTTTTTCTTTTTTTTTTTCTTTTTTTTTTTGAGACAGAGTCTTGCTCTGTCTCCCAGGCTGGAGTGCAGTGATGCAAACATGGCTCACTGAAGCCTCGAACTCCTGGGCTCAAGGGATACTCCCACCCTAGCCTCTTGAGTAGCTAGGACTGCAGGCATGCGCCACCACACTGGCTAATTTCTTTATTTTTTGTAGAAACAGGATCTCACTATGTTACACAGACTGGCTTCAAATTCCTGGGCTCAATCTATCCTCCTGTCTCAGCCTCCTAAAGTGCTGGGATTATAGGTGTGCACCACCATGCCTGGCCTGTGTGGTTCTCTAAAAGATAAGGACTTTAAAATATATAACCACAATATCATCATCACACCTAGTAAACATCAATTTAATATCATCTAATATAGGCAATGTCCAAATTTCCAGTTATCTCATAAATATACGTTCCATTTGTTTGCGTGTTTAATTTTACAGGATGTTTGAACCAAGGGCCAGAGGAGCTTCACGTCTGCCATTAATTGGTATACTTTTGAGGTTTCTCCTGCTCTAGGTCCATCCTTTTTCCATATCAGTTTTTTCTCCAGTCAACTCATCCCTTGGAAAAAGTGGTCATTACCGTCGGAGATTCCTCCAGTCCAGATCTTGTGGATGGCGTCCCCTGGTGTCGTTCAGGGTGACGCTCTGTCCTCTGTCTTTCCTATGTGCTCACAGCTCGGTCTAGAGGCTTGATCTGATTCAGGCTCAATTGCTTTGGCTTCGGGTGAGGGTGTGTTCTTCTAGAGACGCTCACTGTCTGCTGGCCTCTCAGTGGGAAATTCTGGGCTGGTGCAGCTCAGTGCCTGGAGCCATTCATTCATCAGGGACTGCAAATTCTCCTGTGAAATGCTCCTACAAAAAAGAAGCTTCCCCTCATCAACTTTCGGTTACCCCGAGGTACAGTTTATATAGGACAGGCAGGATAAATGCTTGATTCTTTCCCTTTATTTACCAGTTTTCAGAATAATGAGTCGCCTATAAATATTTGAATGAATGGATGAATAATACATGTGTGAATGAACTGATGGGGATGTGGGAGTTGGGGGTTCTGTCACCCTCAAGGGTGTGGCCGTGGACCACAAGCTGACAGCAGAGGTCCAGCCCGAAGCCAGGTGCCTTTCTACACAGTGAGGTGCAGCCTGTGGCCAGGTCCCTGTCTCCACCAGGGGCTGGCAGCAGCCTCTGCCACCCATCAACCCACCTCAGTCAAAAGCTAGGTGATCAGAAGCTGCATTACTAAGAATCTAGCATCAGGGACAAGGGAGTACCATCACTCTCCCTGACTGAGATGTGAGGAATCCTTGAAACCAGCATCGGAGCGGAGAGGAGAGCCGCGCAGTGAGTGCAGCGGTGGCCTTCGGAACGCGGCGTTGATCTCTCCGCAGGAAGGGGAATCAAGGAGTTTCTGGCCTAAAGGTTAGGATGGTGGCCTCCAGGGTTTCTTCCTGGGCCCCTCCTGGGAGGCTCTCCTTTCCCCAGAGGCCAGGCCAGGCTGCCCACAAGCTCTCTGACATCTCTGCCCTCTCGGTGTCTCCCCAGGTGCAAGTGCAACCTACACGCCAACCTGTGCTCCCTGCGCGAGGGCAGCCTGCAGTGCGAGTGCGAGCACAACACCACCGGCCCCGACTGTGGGAAGTGCAAGAAGAATTTCCGCACCCGGTCCTGGCGGGCCGGCTCCTACCTGCCGCTGCCCCACGGCTCTCCCAATGCCTGTACGTGCCACTCCCCGGGGCCCCAAGCCTGCATGGCTGTAGTCTTCCCCGCCCATCCATCCCAGGAGCTGTGGATCATACACACGCACACATACCTGCACACAGGCACATACGTGTGCACATGCACAAAACATACGAGCATGCATGCACAGGCATGGGCATACATATAAATGCACAAACACGTGCATGCACAGACACACACATGCATGCATGGCCCCCACACACACACACTGTTCTACAGCTCCCAAGCACCAGGTCTTGTAACAAGTCCCTCTAGCATACCTGCATCCCGCCGAACGCTAAGCTGCCCTTCCAGCCCTGGTCCGCAGGGAAACCTGAGATGAGCAGCATTTCTGCAGCCCTTCCCCTTCTTAACCCTGACGGCTGGCAGGAGGCCCCCATGGGATGGTAGGGAGTGATGGGGTGGGACCCCCACTTCAGGTGAGGGGATCAGTAGCGTCATTCCTGATCATGAGCATCTCTGGGGTGTTTGGAGCAAGCCACAAAAGCCAAGTGCTGCGTGTTCAGCACTTCCTCCATCCTCAGAGCAACCCCTGGGAGCTGAGCTCCTGTCATCCCATTTTACAGATGTGTTCTCTATGGCCTGCACCAGAGTCCCCTGCACATGCGCTCTGCCCACCCCTCCCCTGTCCTCGCCCAGCCATGCCAGGGAGCCATCCTCAGGGTCTGCCCACTCACATCTGCGTCGTAGACCCCCTTCGGAGGACCCCCACTCAGGAAGCCCCTGGGCTGCAAGTGGAGAAGGCCACAGACTGCCCCTGGGGTGGGCTCTCCCTGACCCCCACCGCTGCCACTTTACGGATGCTGGCCGTTCTCAAGTGTGTGGTTGGTGCCCGAGGCCCTCCTGGGCACTTTGTGCATCTCGCTTCCACCTCACACAGCCCCACAGGGCGCAGTCCTTATTATGCTCCATTGTCCAGATGAGCAGACTGAGGCCCAGCGAACCTCGGGGCCTCCCAGGTTTCACAGTGAGTTGCATGCCAACACCAGGGTTTAGGGCAGCTACTGGATCTGATGCCCACACCAGGCCTGGGCAGTGGGCTCCTGCACCCCATCTGGGCATCCTCCCTCGACGGGTGGAAGATTTATGTGACTTTAGGCTGATCAAAGCTGAGAGCCATGTGCAGAGGCCATGACAGGCATGTCACGCGTGTGCTGCAGCAGGCGGTGAGACAGGCCTTTGAAGGGGTGACTTGGCAGGCACCAAACAGCACTCTCGGGTCTTCAAAGGCACAAAGAGCACTCCGGGGGCTGACAGCCCACTCCAGCCACTGCCTCCTCCCAGCTTGCCGTCCCCATCTCTTTGTGGTCCAAACCCTTTCCTGAGGTCTCTCTTTAGTGGCCGTCACTCTCTCCCTGACTCACAAATTTGCTTCCCCTTTGTCTATCCTGAGGGCCTCTCTCCCTTCCCTCCTCTCTGCCTCCGTTCTCTCCATCATCATGCCCTCCTTTTTTTTTTTTTTTTTTTCTTAGAGATAGGTTTCTCACTCTGTCGCCCAGGCTGGAGTGCAGTGGCACAATCATGGCTCACTGTAACCTCAACCTCCTGGGCTTAAGCGATCCTCCACTTCAGACTCCCAAGTAGCTGGGACCACAGGTGCATGCCACCGGGCCCGGGTAATTTTTGTGTTTTTTGTAGGGAAAAGGTTTTGCCATGTTGCCCAGGCTGGTCTCGAGATCCTGAGCTCTAGTAACCCTCCTGTCTTAGTCTCCCAAAGTGCTGGGATTACAGGCATGAGCCACCATGTCTGGCCATTTCTGACTTTTTTCTTCTTCCACTTGCCTCCTGCATCTGGAGGTTCTGCAAGGCCTCCCTCTGCCCGTCTCTGGCCACCTGAGACACTTAGCTGCAGGTCACACCTAGGAGGATCCACTGTCCCCACCCTCACCACCACCGGTCTAGCCAGCGATGGACAGACAGGCCTGTAGGGACTGCGCAGCTGGGGCTTCCTTATTTAGGGGAGACTCCTGGAGCTGGCCCCACCTCCTGCTTCTCTGGGAGTCCCTGGGAATTGCCTTTGAGGCCCCCAAGCCCCAGGAAGGAGGGGTTTCTTCTGATATTTGCGGGCGCTGCTGTCCTCAGCACCCGGGTCTCCTGCCTTCTCTGGGGCGCCAACAGGAAACAGCCCAAGGAGACACAGGCTAATTTTGCCCTCACCCTGCCCCTGCCGTGACCCCTCCTCAGTAAGTGGCACCGATACACACGGGGCCAAGCTGCAAGTCTAGGGGTCACCTTGACTGGAGACCCTCCTCCCCGCCACGTTCTTCCAACTTCCCTCCATCCTCCCAGGTCTCTCCCAACGCCACCCTCAGCCCTGCAGCCGCCCTCACTCCCAATGCCTTCCCACCTTCTTACCCCTCTGCCCCCACCTGGCCAGCCCATCATCACCCCCCAGGGCCCAACTTAGAGGCCCCAGGACCTCCCTGTGCCCTGCCTGATGTCCCGCCTGTCTCCACGGAGCCTCACTTGGTCACCACCCAGTCCTGGTGGTGCTTACTGTGGCTGCACCCTGAGGTCTCCTCAGGGTCTAGCAGGTGCCTGCCCAGACACGGAGGTGGAGGAAGGAGTGGGTGGGGATAGGCTCGTCCTCCCAGGCCCAGGAGGAGTCCATGAGCCACACGTCCCACTGCTGATCCCACAGCGTCCTTTCTTGGGAACACTGTGGCGAAAGCTGTGGCACCAGCTCCTTCCTTTTGCAACTGGGATGAATCTCACCCCAGGATTTCGAGGCCCCTGGTCACACCAGGATCATAGGCCTCCCCCATCCCCTGGACACACAGAGACACCCAGATTCGAGTCAGGCCTCGCCCTCTCCCAGCTATATTTCTCCCCCAGCCACGTGTCCTCAGCTGTAGAATCAGGACCGTAAGGAAACTCCCTCATGGGGTTCTTATGAGGACGGCACGGTTCATGTAGGGGATGCTGACACTGTGCCTGGCACGTGGGACGCACAGCACCCGCGACGGCCGTTCCCGTGGTTTCTCAGCGAGTTTTCCAGCCACACTGCACTTCTTAGACAGGAACACTCCATACAATGTCCTTGTCCTGCACTGGAGGGCCCAAAAATCTAAAATAGGAGTGTGTATGAAGCTCCCAGTGGAGCGTTTGGCACCTGTCAGCATGTCCCCAAGGACAAGTCACGGCTCTGAGATTCAGTGTCTCCATCTGCAAAATGGGCCAATAGTGGTTCCTCCCTCCCAGGGCTGCAGTGAGGATGGAACTGGATAATCCACCCTGGTCCCCACACCCTGCAGGTCATCAATGCTAGCAGCTGTGTGGTGCAGCAGGTGCTCTTGAGGGAGGAGCACCTCCAGGCCCTCCCCTGCCCTGCTGGCCCCTCTGCAGGGAGGCGACAGCCAGGCCCCTTCCCCTGGGGCAGCCAGCTCACGCCCCTCTCTCTCCCGCAGGTGCTGCTGCAGGTTCCTTTGGCAGTAAGTACACGCCCAGGGAGGGCGGCCAGGGCCCCTCTTTGCATGTCCTGGAAAAAGCAGGAGAGAAAAAAAGGGGCTTCCGTGTCCCCTCTGGGACTTGGGCCTATTCACTCCGTCCTCTAATTACACCCCATCTGCTTCTCCACCTCTCCCCCCTCCACCTCTCCCCTCCACATCATATGCCATGTGTCATGTGTCATTTTGCTGTGACCTGCTGTCCAGCAAGTCTCAGGCTCTCCCAGGAGCTCCATCAGTGCTGCTTTGGAAAACAGGACAGGACCCTTGGCCCCGGGTGGGCTCCCTGCTCCTCCTGCCGCCCGGGCCTCTTCTCTCACCTGGATCTGGGAGAGGAGTCTCTCCTGCCAGGCGAGAGTGGGGTGACCTTCCCCCACCAGGGGCAGAATCCACCCCCCAGCCTGACCGTGGGGGCAGCCTCCCTCTGAGCAGCCTCTGCAGCCACCTTGGCCCAGGGCTCTGCTCATCCAGGTCAGCTCAGGTCCCAGGGGAGTTGGACCAAGGAGGGGTGTCTGCAGGAGGTGGGGGTCCTGAGAGTTCCCCAGGAGGGTGAGGGCGACATGGTGCCCGCAGGTTATCAGTGAATGTCATCGAGACCGTCCCCAAACACTCACAGGGCGCCAGGCACAGTCTCTCATTTCAGCCTTGCAAACCCCTCCCCCTGGGAGGTCGCCATCTGCTCCGAGAGGCAGCAGGAAAGGGCTGGCCACTGTCAAAGAGCCAGCCGGGAGCAGACCCCAAATCTCAGAAATGCTTGTGGGGTGCACTGTCAGCCTCCGCCAGGGCTCTGTGGGGCCCCACATCCCACCCACATTGTCCCTCCCAGACCCAGAGGGCCCCTGGCTGGGAAGCCAATGGGCCGAGAGGGCGCCAGAAAAAAGGCGGGCCCTGCAGGGACGTGGGCCAGCACAGCCGTTGTAAGTTACTTCTCTGTGGTGTCCCCACCCCAGCAACCCCCCCACCCTCTCTTGTTTTTCCCATCTCTCACCAGGCATCAGCAGGTCCCAGAAAGACCCCGACCCCAAAGGCCCTGTGGCCACTGCGGCCACCACAGCCATGACAAGGGCCCCCACTACTCCTGTCCCCTCCACGTCCACTGCCTGGGCCCCCACGGCTCCCAGCACCCCACAGCCCACAGGTGGGTGCCAGGGTACAGTGACCCCTGCCATCCCACCCTCTCTTGCTTCTAGCCTGCGTCCCCGCCTCTCTTGGGGTGGGAGGGTCGGCAGCCCTGTGCGGGAGAGCAGGGGCTTGGCTCTTAGAATAGAGACGCTGCAACCCTAGAGCTGGGAGGCCACAGGCCAAAGGGGCTTCCAGGTCACCTGAGTCAACCTGTTCCTGAGCCCAACCAGGAGATTCAATGGTCAGTTCAGCTTCCGAAATCGTCTTCCTCCTGCCCTTCAAGCCATTGCTTAGAAGGTCCCAGACCAGTGTGGCCAGACAGCTGCAGGAACTGGGAGGAAAGGTGCTGGGGGCAGCAAGGCCATCCTGACATGCAGCCAAAGACCGGCCTTGTCTCCCAGTGGTGCTTCTGCCTCCACGGTTGCTGGTGCCCCGCCCACACCCTGCCCCCACCTGGCCCCCAGGGCCTCTCTGTCCTTAACCCCTCAGCAGCGCGCAGGTGCGACGGATGGAGCAGGGTTAGCCCAGAAAGCAAATGTCTCTGATCAGCAGGCCAGAGGGAGCCTCTGGAGTTGGGTTTGGCTGCTGGGAATGTGGGGGCTGCGTGTGTAGTGCAAGGCCAGGCCAGGGCCAGACGTCCTGCCCCCTCAGAGGTCCGCTACAGACAAGCATGGAAAGCTGATTCTGACGCCCCTCCGAAGGAGGGATTCGCGTATATTCAAGGCTGGGGATGCTGGGGTGGGCCTCTGCTCTCACCTGGACTCACCTTGGGAGTGTCCCTGGACTCTGCGCACTGCAGGTGCCAGGGGTCTGAAAGGATTTTTCCTTCCCAGAGGGCTCCAGGAAGACGATGACCAAGGGGAATTCTTCCCGGTCCCAGCCGGGGAGGGGTGCTCCAATAACCTGCCATATCCTGTCCCCCACCTCCCTGCAGGGAGGACCTGGTGGGGACTCCTCACCCCTTGGGTAGTGCCCTGGCCCTCCCTCTCTCTGATCCAAGAGGACCTGCCCCACTGCTCCTTCCCCCTGGAGGGGTGGCATTTCTGAAGGGCAGAGTCCCCTCCGTGAGCTCCTGCCTTGGCCTGTTGCTGGGCGGGCACTCAGGCTCCCCAGGCGGGGGCAAATGCTGAGAGAAAGACCTCCTCCTTCCTAGGCCATCCAGAGCGGCTCCCCTGGGGGGCGGCACACCCCACTTCTCTCTACATCCTTCCTTTTCTGCACGAGGCATTTACAGGAGGCAGGGGTAGCCGAAAGATTGGGGGATTTCAGGGAAGCCGCCTGGCCCAGGAATCCTCCTTGGGGTGGAGGATGTGGGTCACTCTGAGAATTCTGGACTTCAGACATAGGTTGGCGCAGCCACAGGGGAGCTGTGCTTGGCTACTGAGCCTGTGGTGGGCAGACAGAAGCAAAAACAGTGGTGGTGGGTGCTGTGCCTGCCTCCAAACAGTGGTCTGGCTGGGAGGCCAGATACTCTCCATATCACATGTGCAAGTGTACACACGCACACACAGAGGAACCTTGAATCCATTTGCGGAGCTGCTTCTGACTTGGTGCCAGGGCAGCCGTGGGAGGCTGGGCAGATTGTGCAAAGTTGGGAATTAAAGAGGAAAAGTCAGAGGCCGGAGTGGTAAATGTGGGGGAGGCAAGGATCCCCAGGATCCCCTGGGGGAGCAGAAGACACACCCTCCCTCTCGGCAGGACAGTGTTGCTCTGCACCCTCAGCCCTGTGTCAAGAAGCGGGACATTAGGGGAAGAGGTGCCTCCAATGTGACAGTCAGTGGCCCCCACAGCCCACATCTAGGGGCTCCTCCCTCCTTTTCAGCAACCGAAGCCCCTGTCCAGAGCCCCCATTAATAAAAACGATCATTGCAGTTACTGAGGGTGAGTTCTCCCGGGCTAAAGGCTGTGCTCCTATCATCGTATCATTATATTCTGGGGTCACAACTCTGTGAGATGGAGGCTGTTATTTTCCTAGTCCCACAGGTGAGGGGATCGAGGCTTAGGAAGAAGCAGCTGGATTTTATGATATGTAAATTATACCTCAATCAAGCTGTTTCAGAAGAAAGAAGAAAAAAGAAAAAGAGGCAGCTGCCTGATGTCCCGGGATTATGGAGAGGCACAGGCAGGATTTGAACTCAGGGTGTGCCAACTCAGCCACCCAAAGCTGTTGCCCTGAGGCCTCCAGGGGCTATGAGGTTGTGCTATCTTTATTTATTTATTTATTTGTTTGTTTGTTTATTTATTTAGAGATGGAGCTTCGCTCTTGTCGCCGAGGCTGGAGTGCAATGGTGCGACCTCAGCTCACCATAACCTCCGCCTCCCGGGTTCAAGCAATTCTCCTGCCTCAGCCTCCCAAGTAACTGGGATTATAGGCACCCGTCACCGGGTTCAGCTAATTTTTGTCTTTTTAGTAGAGACGGGGTTTCACCATGCTGGTCAGGCTGGTATGGAACTCCTGACCTCAACTGATCCACCTGCCTCAGCCTCCCAAAGTGCTGGTATTCCAGGTGTAAGCCACAGCACCTGGCCAGGTAGTGCTATCTTTAAGGCCTGGCTTGCAGGGCTTCCCAGTTCCAAAGGAGCAGACCAGGCTTCCATGGGGCCTTGGCACAGCACACAGGCCATGGCGAGAACTTGCTTCCTGCACACCTGAGTTGTGTCCCTGGGCAGCCCAGCCAGGACTCTCTCCCTCCCCAAGACCCTGGTCCCTGAAAGATCCTGAATATCCCCAGACGCCTCTCAACAGGTGCTTTGGGCTCTTTGACCAGAGTCCAGCTGGGCCTCTGAACTCCTGGGCCAGATGTTTCTCCCGCCTGCCAATGTCAAGCTGTCTGGAGGACAGCGCTGGGGGCGGAAAACGCCGCTGGAGATACTAATCCTCTCCTGGGCTGGGCCACGGAGGGTGGAGGGAGACAGACTCCGAAGCAAATGCCTTCAGGGCTGGCTTTCTTGTGGCTCTAATTAAGCCCTTGCCAATTTGGGCCTGGCGGCCTCATCTTCCCACTGAACATCGTATTAAAGTCAATTGATGTCCAAAGCTCTCCGCTCCCAGCTGGGAAGTCTTCCGCCCTTGTTAGCTGGTAGCTTTTCCTTTTCTTTCCCCGCAGCCACCATTGTGTATAATCCCTTCAAGAAGCGGAAAACAGCAGCCCTCCCCTGTCCCCCTGGGTTTGTCCTTGGAAATTTGGGCACAGGACAGTTCTTTGCCAGCCCTGCCTGCCTTCCTGGCTGGGGGTCCTGTTAGTCTAGGGGCTGAGCACTGTGGCGTTTGGGGGCTGATTCATGCTGGGGTCCCTGGTGAAAATGGGCCCAGGCCAGGCGTCAGGAAGGTAGAAGGGCAGTGATCAGGGAAGCAAGTCAGATGCTGGGGGAGGCTCCGGTCCCCGGATTGGGGCTGGACAGGAAGAAGGCCTTCCAGAACACTTCCGGACACATCTAAGATCTTGGCCGGAACACGTGCCCCACTTTGCAGCCATTAGAGACATCAGCTCAGAGAGGTCTGGGCCCAGAGACAGGACCTGGTCTAGCTCTGTCCTTCAGTCAGAACGGGAATCACACAGGGAGTGTAGAAGCGTCTCGCTGAAGCATACGCAGATTCTCAGGCATGAGGCCACCTCCCATCTATCTGGCTTTAAGTCTGCATGTGCCGTCCACAGACTGCAATAGTGTAGATGCTGCCTCTGTAGTAGATTTGGACCCAGTTCCTTTGGCCAGTGTAGACAGAGCCTCTCCTAATAGTGCTGCTGCTTTAAGGGGCCTGTGGGGTGCGGGGCTGTGGTGCCTCAGTAAGTGCCCAGCTTCCCTCAGCACCACCCCCCTCACATAACTTGGTTTCTTCTCTTCTTCCCCCCAAGAGTGGACCAGGCCATCTACGGCTGCCCCGCTCTCAAGCAGGTGGTCCCAGGTGGCCGCCCGTGCAGAAGGTATGGGGGCAAGGCCTGTGATGGGCCTGAGACCCCGGGGAAGCGCCCTCTTAGACTCATAGGCCCTTCCCCCTGTAGTGGAAGTAGCAGGGGTGCTTGGTGGGGACCTGGGGTGGGGCGGGGGGGTGGTGACGCAGCAACCAACTGAGGGCATGGGTGTAGAATGTCGGTACCTGGGAAGCTCTAGAGCATAGTGGTGAGGGAGTGGCCTGGTAGAGCAGGTCTACCAGCTCTGCCCCCAAACTTCACCTGCTTAGAGAGGTTCCATGTGGCACCGCCACGCCAAGCCCTTCCACCAGCACTCCCTCCGAGGGCTTCGGAGTCGAGTGGAGGTCCTGCCTCCCATGACAGGAACCCCCCTTTCCAGCTCCCCCTTGCTCACAGGACACCAGGGCAGTTGCTGGATCACAGAGAGAGTCAGAGGGGGCTTCCTGCAGGAGCGGGGTCCGTGAGACCTCAGAGGGTGGACTGTGGCAGGTGAAGGAAGAAGGTGGCATATTCCAGGCCGCAGGACCAGCCAGGGCAAAGGCTTGGCAGTGGGATGGCAGGGAGCCTGACAAAGTGGAAAATGTGTGGGTTAAAGGTGGAAGGGCGGGATCCTGGAAGACACTGACATCCTCCTGTTACATGGGAGGAGACGCACGGGCTCATCTGTAGCCGTAGACAGACACGCCAAGGAAACGCGCAGGCCTGCCTGACTCTCCAGAAGGGAACTGGTCCCTGGCCCCAGCTCACCAAGCCTGGGCTGGGAATTAGGGCCTGAGGTCTAGGGAACCAGTGAACTGTTCCTCCAGCTCACCTGTTCAAATTCCCTCCAGCCCCAGCTCTGAGCAGCGAGCCGGGCTTTGAGCGCCCTCTACTGGCAGGAAGCTCTGGCGCTGGAAGCATATTTAGAGACGGTCGGATGGTTGGTTCCTAGAAACCTGGAGGACCTGGGTCTGGTGTCCTCTCTGGTGATTGAGACAAAGCTGACGAGAGCCATCACTTCCCTGCCCTGGGCCCACCAGGCCGCCACAGACCCCCATAGGGAAGCCAAGGCAGTGACGCTTCCGGGACAGTGGCCTGCTCACGCACAGATAGGGCGCTGGGGCCCCGGTGGGATGCTGGGCAGGGCGTCGCTGTTCCTGGCTTGACAGCACTTGCAAGTGGGACTCCAGGGACAGCGAAGGATTCACTTTGGCTGGAGCAGGAAGATTGTTTCAGAAAGGAAGGGAGATGCCAAAGTCCTTAAATGCCAGGTTTAGTCTCTGGGTTTGATGCTCCTGAAAGTTTGAAGAGGAGGTGGGGAGAGCAAAAGACAGGTGTGCAACACGCTATCCGTCTAAAAGCCGTTCGGCTTCCAAGAAGGCCTTAGCAGGGCGCGGGGGGTGTCAGGGGTTACAGAAGTCATTTGGGGGAGTAATCCAGCCAGATGTGTCCATGGTCTCAGAGAGGGGACCAAGGGCAGGGCTGATTTTCGAGCTCGGGATGTGCTGTGTTTCCTTCAGGAAGGGGCCCTACCTCCCTGGGCTCTTCGAGGAGAGGGGCTGTGTGATTTGAGGCCAGAGGGGCCTCTCCCTCCCTCACATCTGAGCAGGCGACAAGGCTGCCTGCCCTAGAGCTGGCCCAGGGCCGCTTGGAAGCCTTTGCTGGGCTCTTCCCTGGGCAGCGGGACCATGGCAGACGAAAGAACCTGTTTCTCATCTCTCCAAGCTGTGGGCACCCCTGCTGCTGCCCCTGCCCCCGCCAAGGGCTACAAACTTTTCCAGCTCAAGCCCAAATCTCCTCAAGTGATGCCTATTGAAGAATTCCAAGGTAAGAGGATGGGCCTGGGGCCCCATCAGCCCTCCCCGCCACCTGTTCCCCAACCGCCACTGGAAAAAGACAGTGCAGGACAGAGGACAAATGCCTGGCTCAGAAAACCCTCCCGGAGTAGCTGGGCCAAGGTTAAACTGAGTCTCTCTTCCCTACAGGCCTCCCTCCCCAAGGGAGCTGGGAGTAGGTATGAGTCAGAAGCCAACTTGGGCACAGTGGGCAGGCCACACAGTGGGCAGAGCAGATGCCAGAAATAGCCTGTCCCGGCTCCCCTGGGAGGTGTGGCCCAGGGGCTCATCTTGGCTGAAGCAGAATCTGGGACACACAGGTCACTGATGCTGCTCTTTGGGACACTTAGAGGATGCCTCGCCTCCTCATTGTCTCTGGAGGGACAAAGTGAAGGGGGCAGATCCAGGTGGCCCACAGGTGGGAATGCCCACTATCTTTCGTGGGCACAGGCTGTTTCTCCAGGGTCTCCCATGCCCTTGACCACTGGGTCAGTCCCTCCTTATCCCATCACAAAAAGGAAGCTGGGTCCTCTAGAGATACACAGATGGTGTTTCAAGAGGGTGGCCAGTGTCCTTCCTTGTTCAGGGGCAGCCACATTGGCTTTCTTGCTGGAGGGTAGGTGGGTGGGTGAGTACTGTGTCCCTTCGTAGGAACATCAAGGGATGCCCCCCATTCTTAGGGATGGTGACCTTCCTTACCAAATCCTCCACTGACATTGTGGGGTTCACCTCCAATCCCTGAGAGCCTTGCCCCGTGCTTCTCTGGTCCTCGGAGCGGAGCTGATTAGGCAGGGGTCAACCTGAGAACCACGTAGGAGTGGGGTGCAGGAGGTGGCCGGACGTGGTGGTGGTGGTCCTTGGTATGAAACCATGTGCTTCCAGGAGCAGTGAGTCACAAGCCAGGCCAGGGCCAGAGGGAGGCAAACAGGTTCCTGGGGCACCTGCTTTAAAGTGGCACTCACTCTTAGCATCCTGCAAAACAACCAAACTTGCAGAAAGCTCAGGCTAATAAGAAAGGGTCCGGCAGGTGGGCGTTTTCCTCCCAACCATCTTCCAAAGCAGCATGGGCAGGAGCTCCTGGCCCATTGCATCTTGTCTAGCGTCCATCCATGCATTCATCCACCCGAGGACACCACAGGGAGCGCCATGAACCCAGGCGCCGCCCTCCCCCAGTGCACAGCCAGGTGGCATGACCCCGCCCTCCTTGCATGAATCACTTTCTAATCACTCCGGCACGCGAGCATCCTTCAGCGAGCATTTGGCCATGGTGCTCAGCCAGGCGTTGGCAGGTGCTGCCCACCGGCCCTCCCTGGTTCCCTGCCCACAGGGCCAGGTGGGAATCCCTGGGCTCAGCCTACTCAGGTTCTCCTCCGGGCTCAAAGCAGGGAGGCCTGTCTCTTCCTGAGTCCGACAGAAGGGTCAGAGGCCTAGGGCAGCTTCTGGTACCTTTTCCAAAGATGCCTTCCTCCCTGCATGACCTGGGGTGAGTCCTTCCTTGCCCTGTGCCTCAGTTTCCCTGAATTCTCACTGATCATTGGTATTTTTCCTACTTGGCCGCCCCAGACTGCGAATGCTACGGTCACTCCAACCGCTGCAGCTACATTGACTTCCTGAATGTGGTGACCTGCGTCAGCTGCAAACACAACACGCGAGGTCAGCACTGCCAGCACTGCCGGCTGGGCTACTACCGCAACGGCTCGGCAGAGCTGGACGATGAGAACGTCTGCATTGGTGAGAGGGCGCGGACACGGCACAGGGAACTTGCTGGAATGTGTGCCCCCTCTGGGGCCCCCTGCATCAGAATCACCTGGGGAGGCTGTGGGAATTCTAACTCCAGGGCCCAATCCATCTCTAAGGACAGAAAGCTCCAGAAGCTGCTGTATTAGGTTCTCCGGCAGGCACTGGAGTTGCAAAACTTACCAGTGGCCTTTTGCTCTCTGGGCAACTGGAGGGGACACTGACCCTTCCTGGTTCCAAAGAGCTGTGACTCTAGCAGGTGGCAGGCACTCAGTGGCAGAGGCCACTGAGCATCTGTCTGGGGCTGGTGTCGGTGGGAGGGACAGTCCCCCTCCATAGCTCCTTTCCAGAAGGGTGGAGGAACAGCCTATCCCTCCTCCTTGGGGGCCAAAAGGAGGGCCTTGCTGCATACATTTGGGCAGGTGCCTTCCCCTCCCTGGGCCTCGGCTTCCTCATTCATCAAATCGGGAGGCGGATTAGATTAGTTTTCAGCCCTTTTTTTGTGGCGGAAGCTTTTCTTCAAACGCTTTACCAGCCGAGGTCCAGATATAAAGCTGCTCTTCACCCCCGGTCGGCAGCTGGTCTGCTTTCTTCCAAGTTCTACTCAAGGACTGGCTTTGGGGTAGAGAAGGAAGTTCATCAGGGCCTTGGGCCTGGGCAAAGACCAAAGCCATGACCGCCAACCAAAACCCACCAGCCTGGAATGGTTGCCCCTGTCGTCAGTAGAGGCCAGGTCTCAGCCCCAGGGGCTGTCCCCCAACCCTGCCCAGCCAGGCCCCTTGGGACACCATCGCCCATCCCCCACCCAGCAGGCGGCTCTGGCTGCGCAGAGGAGGGGCTCCTGCAAAGCTGGAGCTGTCGGTTTGAATTATGGCGGCAGCCTTCAGATAATTCCATCAACTCTAAGTGATCAAAGCCGCTGACGTCACAGGGGGCCAGCTGCAGGGACAGGGCAGGGCCTTTGGATCCAATTAGAGGCGCCCCCACCCTGGCACCCTCCTCCTCTCCCTGGCTCTCCCTGCCTCCACCCCCAGAGCCATCACTGAGCTGCAAGGTTTCTCAGGGTGGAGGATATTCGCCCCCTCCCACAAAGCAGAGCCCCAAGGAAACCAACTGGGACCCCCCGGGAGCAGGAATAGGCTGTTCCTCCACTCCCCTGGAAAGGAGCTGTGGAGGAGGGCCACCCCCACAGCACAGCAGCCCCAGACATGCTCAGTGACCTCCACTGAGCTTCTGCCATCTGTCGGAGTCATAGCTCTTCGGAGATGGGAAGGGTCAGCGACCCCTCTAGTTGCCCAGAAAGGGGAAGGGGCTGACCCGGGCCACGCCAGAGCCAGGGCGGGGAAGGCGGGGCTGGGAGATTTTTGATCCCAGGGAAGGAAGCCGGAGTCTTCCCTCCAGGTCTGGACACCCCGGGCAGTCCCCACCTGCCGTCCAGCCGCGGGCTCACGTGGACCCAGTGTGGGGAGCATCCCCTGGGGAGTGCGGAGACCCGGCTGCGAGGCCGGGAGAGTGGGGGTCCGAGCAGACGGCGCCCACAGGTAGCCCTGACCACGTGCCCGTGTCCGTCCAGAGTGTAACTGCAACCAGATAGGCTCCGTGCACGACCGGTGCAACGAGACCGGCTTCTGCGAGTGCCGCGAGGGCGCGGCGGGCCCCAAGTGCGACGACTGCCTCCCCACGCACTACTGGCGCCAGGGCTGCTACCGTGAGTGCGCGCCGTTCCCCCGCGGGCGGAGCCTGCGGAAAGGTGGCGGGCAGGACCGAGGCAGTGGGCGGGGCCTAGTAAGACCGGGCCGGGGCGGTGGACGGGGCCTAGCAAGACAGGACAGGGCCGGGGAAGTGGGCGGGACTTCACGGGACGGAGCAGGGGGAGATGGGCGGGGCCTCACGAGACGCGGCAGGGGAGGTGGGCGGGCCTCACGAGACGGGGCAGGGGAGGTGGGGAGCAGGAGAGATGGGCGGGCTCACGTGAGACGCGGCAGGGAGGTGGGCGGGCCTCTACGAGACGGGGCAGGGGGAGGTGGGCGGGCCTCACGAGACGGGGCAGGGAGGGGCGGGCCTCACGACGGGGCAGGGGAGGTGGGCGGCCTCATGAGACGGGGCAGGGAGGTGGGCGGGCCTCACGAGAGTGTGGGGGCTGGGGAGGTGGGCGGGCCTCACGAGACGGGGCAGGGAGGTGGGCGGCTTCTACTGAGACGGGCAGGGGTGGGCGGGCCTCACGAGACGGGGGAGGTGGGCGGGCCTCACGAGACGGGGCAGGAGGCGGGCCTCACGAGACGGGGCAGGGGAGGTGGGCGGGCCTCACGAGACGGGGCAGGGTCCGGGAAGTTGGCGGGGGCCTGGTGAGATGGGGCAGAGCCGGGGGCGGTGGGCGGGGCCTAGCGATACTGAGCGGGCAGGTGGGCGTGGACAGGATGCTGCTGGGGTCGGGGTCCGGGCCGAGGGGCGGGTCCAAGAGCTCGGGGCGGGGCCTGATGCGATCTTGGGCATGGTGGTGCGTGGTGGGAACTACGAGAAAGACGCAGCTGGGGTTGGTTGAAAAGGGTTTTGCGGGGACAGAGGGAGGGAGGCTGTCCGAGTCGGCGTTAGCCGCGGGCGGAGGGTGGCAGGGCGCTCCAGGCGCATGGAACAGCACGTGCACAGCTCTGGAGACTGCAGGCGCGTCTGAAGAACCGCACCGAGGCCAGTGGGGCGGGGAGAGAAGGGCAGCGGTGGGAGGCAGCCAGGGGCCAGATCTCGCCCGGGCGCCGTTACCCTCCCAACGGGACGTTTCACACCCAGCGCTCCCGGAGCCTCCTACACCCCCGGCCCAGACGGCGCCCCCAGGAGCTCGCACACCCCGCTTCGCAGGAGCTCGGAGGTGGGGCGGGAGGGACCGGGCCACGCCCCGTGCTGACCGCCCCCTCCGCCCGCAGCCAACGTGTGCGATGACGACCAGCTGCTGTGCCAGAACGGAGGCACCTGCCTGCAGAACCAGCGCTGCGCCTGCCCGCGCGGCTACACCGGCGTGCGCTGCGAGCAGCCCCGCTGCGACCCCGCCGACGATGACGGCGGCCTGGACTGCGACCGCGCGCCCGGGGCCGCCCCGCGCCCCGCCACCCTGCTCGGCTGCCTGCTGCTGCTGGGGCTGGCCGCCCGCCTGAGCCGCTGAGCCCCGCCCGGGGGACGCTCCCTGCTCCCGGGGGCCGGGGGTCCCGGGGCGGAGCCGGCGTCCGAGGCCGGGCGGCGAGAAGGGTGCGGCCAGAGCTGCTCCCAGGTGCTACTCAGCAGGGCCCCCCGCCCGGCCCACGCTCCCGCTCGCACTGCCCTCCCCCCGCAGCAGGGGCGCCTAGGAACTCCGGTCCCCGCACCTGCGATTTGGTTTCGTTTTTCTTTTGTATTATCCGCTGCCCAGTTCCTTTTTTGTCTTTCTCTTTTTTTTTTTTTTTTTCGCTGGCGGTGAGCCAGAGGGTCGGGAGAAACGCTGCTCGCCCCACCCCCCGTCCTGCCTCCCACCACACGTGCACACACGGGACTGTGGCCGACGACCCCTGGCCTGTGCCGGGCTCATGGGCGGCGGCGGACCCCGACCTCCAGTTGCCTACAATTCCAGACGCTGACTCGGTCCTGTTTTCTATTCTTTCTTTATTTTTCCTGCAACCCATCAGACCGCAGGCCTCACTGGAGGCTCGGTGACCAAGGAACTCACCGTCTGGGGGAGGAGGAGAGAAGGAAGGGGTGGGGGGCCTGGACATTTCGTTCTGTAGAGAACTATTTTTGTTCGTATTCACTGTCCCCTGTAGGGGAGACTGGGCGGGAGCGCCGGTCACCGCGGGGGCCGAGGGGCGAGAATCCGAGGAGTAAAGAGTTTGCTCACTGCTGCCTCCATGGCCTGTTTTCTTTCTGTGTTGGGGACGCTGGGCAGGTTTGGGGCTTAGTGAGGAACCCACAACAAAGCCTTAAAGAAACGGTTTCCCTATTGGGGCCACCATTTCCCTGTCCTCATTACCTTCTCAAGATTAAGGAGGAGTGCTGGAGGGGACAGGGGCAGCTCCTTGATTCAGGGTTCATCCCCTGGGACCTCTGCTTCAGAGGATCCAGCAGCTCTCCCAGCTCTGCTTGGTGTCTCCAGCCCTGGGGCCACACTTTCCCCTCGGTCCAGCCTCCTGTCCACCTAAGTTTATTTCAGAGCAGTGCCGGGGATCCGGTCCCGGTTGCTAACTGCTCTCACTGCTCCACCTGCAGATGCTCCCAGCACTGACTTCTGACACCACACCTGTTCTTTCCCGGCTGCGAGGTTTAGACCTGGGTCCTTCCCTTGAGTCCCCAAAGCTAAGCTAAGACCAAGGGGAACAAACTTGGCCTTGGGGACAGCAGGAGAGTACAACACAGAAAAAGAGGGGGAGGTATGACAGGACACTGCATAGGACTCACAGCGTCCCCAGCCCACATGCCAGCCCCTCCTGGCCTCCTCTGTTAGCTCCCACCCCCAGCACCCCGCTGACCCGGAAGTGCCTTCTGCCATCCCCGGATCCTCCCACAGCTGACCCATCTCTACGCTCACCTTCTTCCTTATGCACAGAACCCCACTGCCTGGGACCCAAAGCACCCAGATAAAATAAAACACCTCTCTGGGGCTTCTTGTGGATAGGAGTGGCCAGGGGACACAGCTCTGAGCAGTGAGATGTAAGCAGGAGTGATGGGTGGGGCTTCCAGAAAGTTCCTTAAAAGTCATGCCTTCCTTCACACCCCACAAAGCCTCAGTTGTCCAAGTTTGTGGCTCTGTTTTTTCTCTCTCGTCCCTCCCTCTGTTCTTCAGTCAGCAGGATGGGGAAGGAGCGTTCTTGAGATACTGAGCGTAAAAGTGTCACCCTCAGGACAGTGAAGGGTGGAGCTGGGGGTGGAAGTTGCAGCGCCTGGGACACCTGCCCTGGCTGCAACCTCTGCACTGCTTTTATTTAATTTTTTATAGAGTTGGGGTCTCACTATGTTGCCCAGGCTGGTCTCGAACTCCTAGGCTCAAGTGATCCTCCGGCCTTGGCCTTCCAAAGTGCTGGGATTACAGGTGTGAGCCACCGTACCACCTGCGTGTCTTACTGTGTGAGAAAAAAAAATAAATGTTGATGTGATTAAAACACTAGAATTTGGGTTTTCTGTTCCATGCACACTTTCCAAGTTCTTGTGACCCTCCCTGATTGGCATATGGGCCCCTTGAGTCCTCTAAGGCCAGAGAGACTGAAACCCACCCTTCCTTGGCTGCAGTCCCCTGTGGTGACCCTCAAGTCACCAGGAAGAGGACTGTCCATGACTCAGGCTGAGGAGTCCACCTCTGTCCAGAACAGGACTGCGCCTGCCATCCGGTGAGCACAGGGCAGCCAAGCAGAATGCACCCCAGAGAAAAGCAGCACTGGCCGCAGTCAGTAAACAGCAGGTGCTTCCTCCTAGTCATCAAGATGATAAAGTATCACCTAGAAGCAGAACTAGAGGCAGAACTTGAGACAGGGACAGCAGGGCCCGATCCCAGTGGCCAGCCCTGGTCCGATCCACGAGGCTGGGGACCCTGGAGCGTCAATGACATCCCAGCACTGTTCTTGTCTGGAGGTAAGTGGGCCACCCTCTGTCAGGCACCAGTGCCAGGCTGGCATGAGGGCTGCAGTAGAAGCCCCTGGTGCAGAAGGTGGGCAGCTGGGGGCTGTGAAGAGGCCCACACGGTGGTGCAGAGGGCGTACTTCTTTATGTCACCATGAGTGTGTCCCCGAATACCCTTGAGGGGTCTGGGAGGCAGGGGCCTCTGTGGGCACCCACTCTGTCCTCCTTGACCTCTGTCAGCTGGGCCTGCTCTGTGTCAGCTCTTCTGGCACCGGCCTGTGCATCCAGGGCCGGGGATGTGGAGCTCGTTGTAAATCAGAGTGGCAGTCCCAGTCCCCAGGGACACACTCAGGCCCTGACCTCCCTGGAGGGTGGACGGAATGTTGCCAGTGGCCATTTGGAAAAACTCTGACATCTTCCAGGCAGCAGAAGAAGGAGAAAACAAGGTCGGCGGAGCCGAAAGTCCTAGACCATTCTCTTTTAAAACGGCACACCCTTGTCCCCAGAGCTCATATTTTGACACCTGGTTCTGGGAGGTGAGGAGGAAAAGGCTCCCGTTGTGCGGCTTGGCTCATCATCACCGCACTCCCCCAGGCGCTGTGCTTGCATTACTGCATTAACCCTCACCTGCACCCTAGGGCAAGGTTTTCAACCTTGGCACCATTGACCTTGGGGGCTGGGTCATTCTCCATGGCACGGGGTGGGGGGCTGCCCTGTGCACGTGGGATGTGCAGCAGCATCACTGGCTTCCATGTGGCACTTCGATGTGCCCTGTCCCCAGTTGTTACAACTCAGAGAGCCTCCAGTAATTGCCAAATTCCCTGTCCCCAGTTGTTGCAACTCAAAGTGCCTCCAGTAATTGCCAAACTGGGGGCAAAATCGTCCTAGATTGAGACTCACTGCCTCTGAAGAAAGGGATTTATCATGCCCATTTTACAGAGGAGTAAGTGGAGGCTAGGAGAGGCAAAGTCACTTGCCTGGGGTCACAGTTTCTAAGAAGCAGAGGCGAGAGTTGAACCCAGGGCTGCCTGACGCCAGAGTCCAGTGTTTCACCCCCAAGCCAGGCAGCCCTGGGCAGGCATCAGGCATCCACGCCCCCGGTGGGCGGCCGCAGCTGCCCCCCACCTCCATGCCTCCAGCTGCCTCCTTCCTTTGGCGCCCAGAGCCAGGTCAGGCTGAGCAAGGAACCCTGGGGAGCCCAGCTTCATCTGAACGGCTCTGCTGTCAGGGGAAACGCCTCCCCTTGCTCTCTGCGGCAGTGTCCCCTGCCCCCACCTACTCCCCTAAATAAGCAGAATTGCTGCGTCGGCGTTTCCTGCCCAGCCCATGCCTTACTGTTACGAGGCATTTATGGGAGCCTGGGGAGCATCCAGCAGCATCTCCCCGAAGACCTGGGCCCGCCTCCTTGTCCTCCTTGTCTCCCCAGAACTGTGGTCCATCCCGGCGCATCCCAGCCAGAAGAGTTAAGGGAAAGACACCAGGAAGAAAAACATTACTTATTTATTTTTCGGTTTAAATCACATGTCACAACTTGTAGGAAAGTTCAAAAATACAGAAAAGCAAAATCATAATAATTTGTAAATTAAACTCATCCACAATTCTTTATCCAGAGCTAATAACTATTAATATTTTCTTTTTTTTCTTTTTTTCTTTTTTTTTCAGACAGAGTCTCGCTCTGTCGCCCTGGCTAGAGTGCAGTGGCGCGATCTCGGTTCACTGCAGCCTGCACCTCCTGGGCTCAAACCATCATCCCACCTCAGCCTCCGGAGCAGCTGGAACTACAGCTGCGCACCACCACACCCAGCTAATTTTTTGTATTTTTGGTAGAGACAGAGTTTCACCATGTTTTCCAGGCTGGTCTCGAATTCCTGGGTTCAAGCCATCCTCACTCCTCAGGCTTCCAAAGTGCTAGGATTACAGGTGTGAGCCACCATGCCCAGCATAACTGTTAATATTTTCTGATAGATATTTCCAGTGTTTTTCTGTAAAATGAAACCCACACTCAGACATCGCCCCTCACTCCTGCATTTGCTAAGCCCTAGCACTGAGGCTGGACGTGCCTTATTTCAAGGGTCCCTGCAGAGATGCTGAGAGTGGGATCAATTAATATAATATGGCCATCTTACAGCTCCACACACCAGGGCTCTGAAAGCATCCTGGCCAGTGACCTTAGCCACAAGCACCAAAACAAAACACCAGGTGATTTAAGAGGCAAAGGAGATTATTTGAAGGATCACAGACCCCTCAGACACTTCAGGAGAGCAAGGTAAGAGTAGGGAAAGTGGGCTGCACGGTGGCTCACACCTGTAATCCCAGCATTTTGGGAGGCCAAGGCAGGCGGATCACTCCTGAGGTCAGGAGTTCAAGACCAGCCTGGCCAACATGGCGAAACCTTGTCTCTACTAAAAATACAAAAATTAGCCAGGTGTGGTGGTGGGAGCCTATAATCCCAGCTACTTGGGAGGCTGAGGCAGGAGAATCCCTTGAACCTGGGAAGCGGAGGTTATAGTGAGCCAAGATTGCACCACTGCACTCCAACCTGGGCGACAGAGCAAGATTCCGTCTCAAAAAAAATATGTAGTAAAAATAAAAGCTAGCTGGGTGTGGTAGCAGACGCCTATAGTCCCAGCTACTCAGGAGGCTCAGGCAGGAGAATCCCCTGAACCCAGGAGACGGAGGTTGCAGTGAGGTGAGATCACACCGCTGTACTCCAGCCCGGGCGACAGAGCAAGACTCCATCTCAAAAAAAGCAAAGAGCTGGGCACGGTGGCTAATGCCTATAATCCCAGCACTTTGGGAGGCTGAGGTGGGAGGATCACCTGAGATCGGGAGTTTGAGACCAGCCTGACCAACATAGAGAAACCCTGTCTCTACTAAAAGTACAAAACTGGCCGGGTGTGGTGGCACATGCCTGTAATCCCAGTTACTCAGGAAACTGAGGCAGGAGAATCACTTGAACCTGGGAGGCGGAGGTTGCAGTGAGCTGAGATTGTGCCACTGCACTCCAGCCTGGGCAACAAGAGCAAAACTCCGTCTCAAAAACAAACCAACAAACAAAAAAAAAAACAAAAAAGAGGAGGGTGAGTGGAGCCAGGAAGGGCACCCAGTATCCTGCACAGGGTGGCTGGAGAACCAGAGCCCCAGATGCCGCCCTGGGCACAGCCCTCACCCCCAGGGATGCCCCCTTGCTGGCCTCCCCACCACAGCTCCCACCACGCACCTGCACCCTCCAGTCCAGCATTTCCCACTCCAGCAAGGCGGATGGGCTCTCTTTCCTCAACCAGAGGAAGAAAACACAGAATGAATGTCCACCGCAGAGCAGGTGTGTAAGTTGCCCGGGGTCACATAGCCAGGACGAGCCTGAGGCCAGGATTTAAATGCACTGTCTTGGGCAGGCTGCACAGTCCTGCACCTTTTCTTAATTTTATTTTTTCCGTTTATTTATTTATCTTATTTATTTTTAACAACAACGGCCTCATCGTGTACACACCCTTCTTTAGCCTGCTATATAAAACTTAGCACTGTATCTAGATGATCAAAGGAGGCCTTTTAAAATAATAGAGAGGCTGGGCGTGGTGGCTCACACCTACAATCCCACCACTTTGGGAGGCCGAGGTGGATGGATCACCTGAGGTCAGGAGTTTGACACCAGCCTGGCGGACATGGTGAAACCCCGTCTCTACTAAAAATATAAAACATAGCTGGGCATGGCTGCAGGCACCTGTAATCCCAGCTACTCAGGAGGCTGAGGCAGGAGAATAACTTGAACCCGGGAGGCAAAGGTTGCAGTAAGCTGAGGTCGCACCATTGCACTCCGCCTAGGTGACAAGAGTGAGACTCCATCTCAAAATAAATAAAAATAAATAAATAAATAAATAAATAATAAAAAATAAGAAATGCAAGGCCGGGTGTGGTGGCTCATGCCTGTAATCCCAGCACTTTGGGAGTTCAAGGCAGGCGGATCACTTGAGGTTAGGAGTTCCAGACTAGCCTGGCCAACATGGCAAAACCCCGTCTCTACTAAAAATACAAAAACTAGCTGGGGTGTGGTGGCAGGTGCCTGTAATGCCAGCTACTCGGGAGAATAAGGCAGGAGAATCGCTTGAACCCGGCAGGCGGAGGTCGCAGTGAGCCAAGATCATGCCACTGCACTCCTCTGGGTGACAGAGGGAGACTCCGTCTCAAAAATAAAAATAAATAAAAATAAATGCAAAGACCCATCTTTCATTTTTTGCCCAGCCTCTCACCCTCTTCCCCTCCCAGCCTGGGTCCACTGGCAATGGGACTCCGGCTCCCAGGGCAGGGGGTTGCCAAGCGCCCTTCTGACACCTCAGGGTCTGGCCCAGCGCCTGTGCTCCTGGTGGCACAGGAGACCTTGCTGTTCCGCAGGGGCGGCCAGGTGGAGGCACCTGCAGCCGAATTGCTCCAGATGGCTTCCAGCCAGAGGCTCTCTCCCTGGCTGATGGAGCAGGTGGCCCTTGGGACCCAGCCAGGAGTAGCTGGAGTGAAGCCCAGAGTCCTGGGAGCTCGTGCCTTTCCAGCTGACCCAGT